CCCCCCCCCCAACCGTTTTGGGGTCATTTGAAGGGGATTTGGGGCCGTTAGGAGAGCAGCCGGTGGCGGTGGGTGCCCGCATCGCAGCCAGCTCTCAGCAGCCCCACGTTTTTGCTTTTTTGCCTTTCATTCTTTTATAAGGGGGGAGGTGCTGAGACATGCAGACAGGCGAGAAACGTCGGACGTCGCGTTGGGGTCCCCGAGGAGCGGGGATTTGGGAACGGATTGAACCTCAAGGTTTATCTACAAACTGCAGATGAGGCGCTGCCCTCTCTCCCAGCCCCATCCCACACGGGGCTCCCCAGCCCTGCTGGACCAAAGCGGTACTGCTGTCATAGGAAACAACGAGCCCCGACGCTTCCTGGGGAGGGCTGCCACCCCAAAGGCTGGGGCTGGCGGTGGCGAAGCCGGCAAAGCTCAGTGGGGATGGCGAGGAGATGGGGACCACGTCATGGCGCTGCCGGTGCACAGGGCTGTGTTTTGGGATGAGTTTCCTACTGGTTTTTTTTTGCTATTTCAGGTGCCGAAGCCAGAAGCATCCTCAGGAAGGGCGCGCGCTGTTGGTAGAACGGAGCAGAATGCGCCCAGCTTCCCCCCACCTCGAGCTGCAAAGGAAGGAAGGAGGGAGGAAGGAAGGAAGTTTGTCCCAGACGGACACACGGGTTCAATCCATTTGGATTTTGCTTTGTTTTAATCTTTGCGGAAGGAGGCACATGCAAAGATGGTTTTGTTCCTGCAGTGGAGGCTCACGCCGTGCCGCTCGGTGCACCAGCACTCAGCATTCGGGCTGTTCCTTTCAGCATTTCCAATCCCTCTGCTGGGAATGTGCAGCAGCACAGCACCAAGGCTGCTGGGCAAGGAGGGCTGTGAAAGCAAGTCCTGCCCGTCCTATTCACAATGATTTTTGTTTTTTGGCTTTACAATGCAAAACTGTCCTTTCTTCCTTCTTACGGTCCTGCGACGAGGACAGGAATGAAGCTGTCAGGCCAAAGGGGTGAGAGGCAAAAAGAAGGCATCGTGTTCGTGTCGAGCAAAGCTTACGGTCACAGCTTGCAGTGCTGAAAGTTTGTTCAGGTATTGCTGTTGTTTTCTTTCCTCCAAGCACGGGAATCGTCAGTGCAATGAGCTGACGGCCTCCAGCTGCAAGGTCGGCTCTAGGAAAGCACCGTGACTCGCCCGACATCCTTGGCCTGGGCTGCAGCGTGGAGCACAGTAACAGGTCCTACAGCAGGGCGCTGCTCCCTGCTTGTAAACACGATTTGCTTCACCGGGACGTGCTGGAGGTCGGCTTGAGCTGCATTGTTTGTTGTTCCCTAATTCACAGTTTGAATGCCTGCGTGACAGATTTCAGAGGGAGAGGGAGAGCCACGGGGGAGGGGGGCGGTGGCAGTAAGCTCGGGCCACATTATCTCTTTGCTCGCACAAAGTACAAGGCATTTGTCTTGGGATAGTACTTCACGTTCTGTTTCTTGTCCATCAGACCACCGAATATGATGAGCTCCCCTCTGCCTTGCACCACCGTGTGCAGGCTGGTCTCGGGCGGCCCCACCACCGAGCTGCTAGTGAACACCTTCCATTTCACTCGCCCTTTCTCCTTGGTGTCCTTAATGTCCAGCACGTACATCTGCATGGGTTTGCAGTTCATGCTCTGGTACAAAGGCTTCCCCACGTTCAGGGACTGCGGAGGGTGGTGGCCCAGGCGGCGGGCGATGGGTGGCAGCGAGTGGCCGTCGCCTTGCGCAGAGCCCGGCCGCGCGTCAGCACCGCTGCCCTGGCTGCCTGGGGAGCCCGGCGAGGAGCCGAGCGGGGGGCTGAGAGCAGAAGCTGGAGGGGCTTTGGAGGAGAGAGCTTTGATGGCCTCCAAGCTCCTGCGGAGCGCTCCGGGGGACACGGCTCCCGGCAGGGAGTGGGGCGGGGTGTGGATGCCATTGGTGTGCTCGGGGGGGTTGCGCAGCGTCCTGCCGTCGGCGCCGTCCGCCTGGCACAGGGCAGCTGCTTTCTGCTCCCAGCCCAAATCGACCGAGCCCAAACGCAGGTCCTTCTGCTCCGGCAGCGAGCCCCGCCGTGGCGCCAGGGCGAGCCCAACTTTCAGCTCGCATCCTTCAGTGGCTCCGGGTGTGCCGGGCGATACGAGCTGCACCGGGCTGTCCAAGGAGGCCCCGCCAGGCGCCGCAGCCCCCGGCGATAAGCTGCCACCGTTGAGCACCGGGGAGCCGTCACCTCTGGCTGGGGAGAGGCTGCCCTCCCGCGAACCTGAGGGTGTCTGGCGCTGGGCTCTGGGCCTCAGGGTGCCCCAGCGGCCGTTGACGCAGGGAGCCTCATCTGTGGTCCTGACTGGGGACTGGGAGCGGTACTCGCGCGTTTCGGGGACCAGGGCGGGCGGTGTGGCACTGATGGGAGAGGGACGGGAGTTCAGGCTGGGGCTCAGCGGGGCTCTGCCACTGGGAGCCTGGCTGAAGACCACGACACACTGTCCTACCTGCAAGAGAGGAGAGGGAACGGGTTATGGACTGCTGGGGGGCTGCTGGCAGGGACAAAAAGGAAGAGAGTTTGGGGCATTCTGGGCAGGAAAGTTCTACAGATGTGTGCGAGAGAGCAGAGATCCCGCTGCATCTGTCCCAAAGCCAGACTCACCCTGCAGGCAGGATGGCACCACAGCTCTGGGGCTCCGTGGTCCTCATTCTCTACCTTGAGTGGCTGCCACGTCCAGGGGTTTGCCTGCATGTGCAGCAGCCAGGCGTCTTTGAACAGCTGTGAAGAAAAGCACAAGGGTTCAGGAGACCAGCGTGCTGCCAAGATCATCCTGCAGGGGCAGGAATGGTGCTGGGCAGCTGCCTCACTGCTGCAAGCAGAGGGACAGTGACCTACATTGGGATCTGACCACCCAGGGGTGACTACACCCTGCTGTGCCTATGCACAGGTCTTTTCATCCCCATCTACTGTCCCAGTGTAAAGTCAGGGCTTCTAATTAGCCTCAGTTAGCTGCTCACATAGCTCCTGGGGTGATTTTTATTAATTAAAGGCAGCTCCAGCTGTAGTGACAGCTTTGCTGGAAAGTCTGCAGTGTGCATCTCGGATCTGCAGGACAAAATGTCACCTGGGGAAAGCAAGGAGCCTTCCTGCTCCCCAGCCTGCACCAAGGGCTCACGGTACAGCAGGACTCGTGCAGCTCATGCCCACACTCCCCACAGGATACTTACTGCGTTGGGACCACCACAGCCACCAAGGATTAAAATGGTTTCGTCATCTATGACAATCTGGGGGGGGGGCAAAGAAGAGCGTTTCAGACCAGCAAAACCAGGACGTGGTAATGCTTCATTGTGAAATGCCACAGGGTATGATAACTGTTCTTCTTCTGAAGGGCTAAACAGCAATTTGTATCTAGAAATGCTCATCACAGTTCTGGGACACGTGCAGGATGCAGTCTGGTATCTACCTGAGCCTCGGGAAGATTAGAAGTGTAATCTCATAGAACAGCTGGCCAGAAAAAACAAGGGCACGGCACGCAAAGACTGCAAAGATAACTGACTCAGAAACGGGGCACTAGTTTTCAGGTGAGCCACAGAGAGCTGCCTGGAAGCTGGAAATTCAGCCATGCCTGGTTTCTGTTTGGCAGCAGCTGCCTGTGCTCAGGCAGGTTGTGGAGCAGAGTGAGAGAAGGGAGCATCACCTGAGATTGGCCACCCCGTGGGTGAGGGCTGGGCCCAGAGATGTTTGGCTTGGACCAAGCCCACTGCTCGAGATCCAGCACCCAGACGTCGTTGCTCCTGTGGGGGTGAAAAAACAGGCAGAGGCTCAGCTTGAGGTCCCAAACAAGCACCTGCTCACAGCACACCCATGCCCTTTGAAAACCTCTGGGGTGAGGTTTTATCACAGACTGGGTTTGCTGCAGGCTGCTTGCCCCCAGGGAACTCACTGCAGGAGGTGAAACACGCAGTGAAGAGCCAGCAGACCCCGCAGGAGCCTGCAGCAAGCATCAGGCCATCTCCAATCCCAGCCACAAGGGCAGGCAGGGTGAGCACAGAGGATTATCTCAAGGCTCTCTGATCAAAAAAAGCGATCTGCAGCCTTCCCACACACCTCACCACCTCTCTGCTGCCCCAGTTCAGGGTTTTGCTTCAGGCAGCGTTGGCAGCGCTCTGCGCTGTGAGGACAACCAGGCAGTCACACAGGGATCCTGCTGCAAGGCTCCCACAGCCCAGCCTCACGGAGGTTCCTTTCAGAAATGCCATCCCACCCCAAGCTCCTTGCAGGAGAACCTGTCCAACGCCTTCCCCCCCAAACTTACATTTGCCGAGAGCCCAGCGAACCCCCAAAGACAATCATTTTGTCCTCAATGACACAGGAGGAGTGTCCTGCCATGGGAGGAGGGCCATGGGTGGTCACGATGCAGTTCCACCTGGGGGAACAAGGGAGAAGGAGATTCAGCACAGGGTGAGGAAGGATGGTGCCGGATGAATGGCAACATGAGAAATGCCATGGGCCAGCCAAGCCTTTGAGGATGCATTGCAGAGGAATACCAACAAAGATCCAAAGAGGAACGAAACTCATTACAAGTATCAATGTGCTGACCATTTTTAAAACAGGACAAAGCCACGGGGCAAACTTGGAAATACTGACCCTTTCAATTAAGTTTGCCCTGACTTCTTTCCAACGCAGTTTAATTACAGCATTCGAATGACACTGCCCGAAAGTGCAGTGGATAATTGACACTTTTGATGATTAAAAGTTCTCAATGAAAGAGGAGAAAGAACCCTCACTGCTTTGATAGAGCATTTGCTTCTTTCTCATACAAGCAGCAGTGGAGAAAACACCATCTGAAAGCGGCTGAATGCTGGTTAAAGGGAACAGGAAAGGGCCACGGGAGCTTTGAATTTCGGATCACAGACAAAAGGCAAAACCTCAGGGATTGAGGCTTTCTCTCCTGCTTTCTTCAGAAAGTCCTCAAGCTCACAGCCAAACAAATCACGCACTGAAAACATTCACACCCAGTTTTCCTGCCGGTGTGGAAGACATTGCAAGGAGCACCGAGGTGCTGCTGGTAGCTTTTCAGTGCCAGCCTGCAGCAAGCGCCGCCCCAGAGGCATCAGACAGCAGCGTGTGCTCAGCTCCCAGGCCTGAGCAGCGGTGCTTTGCTTTTTTTTTGGTTGAAATGGAGCCTCGCAGACAAGCCAGGATCAGCCACACCTTGCAAACCAGGAATGTGCACAGCTTCCCCATCCCGCAGCCCGTCGCTCCCTCCAGCAGCTCCCCAGCAGCGCCGCAGACATTCTTTGCCAGGATCAAAGGCATTTCAAATCCAGATGTTCTCTTACCAGTTTTTGGAGGGCGAGTATGTGTGGATTTCATCGAAGAACCTCTCTGGCTGGTGCAGGGGATACGGGCTGGGCCGCGTCCAGCCCCCAAACAGCACCAGCAGGTCCTTGTAGACCACCAGCGTGGCCCCAGCCTTGGGTGAGGGGTATGAACCTGGGCAGGGGGAGAAGACAGGAGGGTTAGGAGACCATCCTCCAAACACAGGCATCAAACCTGACGTGAACTGCACTCAAGTGTGATGAGGTGGGGACTGCACCTTTAAAAGAAAAAGCAGCAAAGAAGGCAAAATTAGAGCTGGGAGCCTGGGAAGAAAACTACTGCCAATTTGTGTTGCTGTAATTAGTAGGAGCCTAAAAGCACATTTCGCGTATGGCAAAACATCTGTCAGTCACTGGCAGGAAATTACTAGCTCTCCCCCATATCCCTTTAAATTATTGCTTTAGCACTGAATAAAAGCAATAATTACCTCCAAATACCTAACTTCTCCCCAAGGACGGAGCAAGAAGGAATGCTAATTCACATGCATCCAGTGCTGCTCCTGGAGGACTGCTTGGGAACTTGCAAGCAGCAGCAGAAACCCAACGCTGCTGTCAGAAAGAGGCACAATTAAACCCAAAGCACTTTGCTGTGTCAGTGAGCAATCGCTCCCCGTGCCTATCAGAGAACGAGGCACAGGCCTCTGCAAAATACTCCCTTGCTACAACGTTAGATGTTGAGCTGGGTGAATGGCTGAGCTTCCTACAGCTGTAACCAGCACCAGGTAGGTTCCTTCATCAGTGCAGATCTCAAGCAATCATAAATACACCAGCTAAAAGCATCGCACAAAAAAAAGGGTTGTGTGGGACCGGGGGAGCCCAAGGGCAAAGCTGTGCATGTGGCCATGGAAGCAGCATCACCCTCTCTGAAGTGCTGAGATAACAAAGCCAGCGCTCTCCTCTGATGTCCTAATGGGACTCAGGGAAGCATTTTTAGCAGGTAATGACATGCAGAACGAGGACTATTTTTAAAAGAAACCAGAGCAGCTATTTTAAGATGTTGCAGCTGAGAAAAAGCAATTTGATTGTGATGGATTCCAGGTGGTGGGTGAGAACAGCTGAGCCTAAAAGCACCCCTGACCCAGGAGCCCTTTGCTGGGGATAGAGCATGTTGTACTGCTGCTCTCAGGTGCTAGGGCACATATATAGCATGGCAAGGCCATATCCAAAATCTCTTTAAAGATTAAAGTGCCAGAAGAGGGTTATGGTCAGTTACTTGTTGTTCCCATGCAGATGCCATATTTCCAGTTTTCCTGGCTCTGTGCAATTCATTCATCCACACCAGCAGGTCTGCAGCCCTGGCAGAGCTTAGAAGTGACACTCCCAAGCCTGGCATGGCAAACTGGTTGCTAGAAAGGCTTCGATCTGGTTTGGAAAGAAGAAGTTGGTTGGACTCGTCCTGCCAGGACATGGCACAGGGGCATGCAGCTGCTTGGGGTGCACTTGTCTACCTGCAATGGGGATCCCAGTGCGATGTAAAGTGTGAGTTTTAAACTGGGACAGCAGCTAATGTTGAACAAAAAGGGTCCCACTGCAAGTTGGGGTGGTGGCTGAGAGGCAAAGCACCACTTTGCTCTGGAAGGTCTTCGTCCTGCTGCAGGCTGAAGGTCAGAACCCCTGCTGCAGACACCAAGGTGCTTCCCAAAGGAGTCAATAAGCACCATGCAATCAGCCCAAGGCAGAGGTCAGCCCTGGCTTTGCAGGAAGCACTGCCTCTTATTGGAGGCTGTGCAGGTGAAAATGAAAGCAGCATTTCTTTCTGGCAGGCAGGAAAAAGATGAATTTCCCAGTCCAGGCACGGCGAGCAGACAGCGTGGTATGCACAGGGCTTCAAAGGGAGCAGGCAGTGCAGAGCAAACTTGCTGCTCTGTTTCAGGGCAGTAGATGAACTCTGGTCCATGGGTGGAGCACACAGAAATGGGGGAAATGTTGCAGAGCACAATGGCTCTCTGCAAAATTGCTGTATGATATGGTTGTGGTATCAAAGATGCCTTAGCTTCATCGATCCTGCCTTCAGCATGGGAACAGAGAGTGACTAGGAGATGGAGAACTAACACTGCTTATCTCTAGGGCAGAGAAGAGCTCAGGGTGCTGCTGCCAGCAAACTGCAAGCTAATGCTGAAGCCTGGTTCATAGCTGCTTCAAGTTTGAGACACCAAGTACCTTTGGTAAAAGGCAGTGCCCAAGCATGACTCAGTTTCCACTCATTTCCCCCACCCGATCACTGCTCACCTGGCACCTTTCCGAGCCTGAGAAAGAAAGGAGCACCCGAGGGACACAGCACAGGCACACGGCTGCAGCCTTTGTGACTTCAGGTCCCAGGCACGTGGAGCATGGGGATGGGGCAGGCGGCAGCAACATCAAAGGGACATGGCTGCAGCCTGCAGTGACTCACCCTGCCATGGCAGAGCAGTGTTCCAGGCACGTTTGGCACAGGAGGGCTTCCTCCTCTCGTAGCTCTGCTATCCCACCACCAAATGAAACTTCTGAGTGATGGCAGTGCCCCCAGACAGGCTTCGTTAGCTAATTGTGTCTGTTTTGACAGCTTCCTGGGTCAAGATGATGGAAGCTCCTCCTTAATAAGCTCATATGGGTCTCCAAGCTCTGCACCTGATAACATCATCGAGCCCAGTATCAGATTATTTCTCCCCAGGATAAAAATTCTAGCGTGCAGAGGGTGTAGCACAATTGACTATTTCTAAACAAAGAAGAAGCCATCTCTTTTCAGCTGGAGCTGTTTATTTAGCAGGGATGAGTGACCAGATGCTGGATGGAGCTATTTGTTCCAGCTGATGGATTTTCCTGGCTCACCAAGCAGAGATACTTTTCAAACAAACAAACAAACAAAACAAATCTCCGGCTTCCGTGGACATGTGTTAGAGAAATGCTTCTGATGCGAGCTCTGAACACCACTCATCCACAATATGTCCTTATAAGCAGTTTTTAAAGCCCATTTATTCAGCCTTCTAATGCCACTGGAGCAGCACGAGCAGCAACAAAAGAAAAACCTGGCTGCAGGGGCACGTGCAACACGCGTTTCCAGGCTGCCTTTTAAGCACGGCCTCCGAGCAGCTCCAGAAAGAAGGCAGGCAATGAACATGAAGTGGAGCTCGAAAGATGAAAATAAAAACAAAGGGGAAAAGCTGCACGATGCTTTTGATGTGATGGAATTAGCCAGATGAAAGAATTGGTTCAGATCAATATCGCTTTGAGAAATGCTGTAGGAGAGGAGATGGAGTAAAGCCATGCATTTGCACCATTCCAGGGTGATGGGAAGATACAGAAGGAGTTATTGGGTGTATGAGGGTAAAAAAAGAGAGATGCTAAGCTTGAACACTCAGATATGAAAAGCTACACGTGCTGGTAACCTCATGTTTCCTAAACCTTTTGTAGCTCCACAAAGCCACAGTGCTTCAGCACAACCCATCCACAGCAGGACAAAATGCTGTGCTGGCTTTTGCTGCAAAGAGTTTGTGCTGTGCTTCCAGAGAATTGCAAAGAATTGGTCAAAGGCAAATTCCTTTCAGAAAGAGAAAAGAAAAAGCAATCTGGCCGCCATCAGTGCCAGCAGAACGAGCAGCTCAAAGGGCAGCCTGCACTTACGGTGCTCCAAGCACACAGCTCTCTTGCAGAGCTCCTGATGGCACGACAGGATTGCATTCAGCAGCCCGGCCTTCAGGCTGGCAGACTCAAAGGAACCAAACTGGGAGCCCTATCTGGAAACCTAATTCCCCCCAGCACGCTATCTGAAGCATTACCCTCACAACGTGCCCCACTGACAGGAAGGGCACAATTTGCCTTGCTCAGCAGATCCTGAGTCTTGTCTGACAGCATGAAATCCCCCCAAATCTTTCTCCCTCTATGGGAAGGGAAACCAGAGAAGGAAAAAAATCCCTTGGCTTCGCAGCCTGGATTTTTCTGCAGTAGTCTGCAGATTTGCTTGAAAGCTGTTCCCCCAGCAGAGTGCTGAGCAGGATGACAAGAAGTCTGGAGGCAGAAGATCAGCACCTCAGGCAATCCCAGCCATGGCACCATGACCAGGAGATAACAAAGGGCCACTCTACTGGGAAATGTGGGCATCTGCATGCAGGTCTCACACCAGCTCTCTGCAGAATGGAACTGCATCCTTTAGGACTCACTGCAGCTACCTCAGATCCAGTGTCTGACATTCACCTGTTTCTGTCCTCAGTTGTTCAAATAGAGCCACTGAGATAACTTTCAAGACTGGCTTTGGACTGGGACTGCTAAACCTTAAAGCGTTTAAGAGCCAGGAAAGTATCATCTTCCCTCACTGAAGCCACATGTGACTTAGTGTTCCCTCCAATCTGGGTTTCTTACGTGAGAAAAGAGATCCACACCACAGACACAACCTCAGCTTTGTAGGAGATAGAGAAAAATGGAGCAGGACCTGAAATGCCTTCCCAAAAGGCACAGCCCACCTTGATCAAACCCTCTGCAGGCACACGTGGCTGCTGCCTGCAAGATGCTGCTCAGGGTAACGAATCTCAGAGAACCATTAAGGTTGGAAAAGACCACAAAGGCCATCCAACCCAACCAGCAACCCACACCCACCAAACCCACGTCCCTCTGGGCACCAGTGCAGAAATAGTGGAGGTGTTCTGCAAGAACATAAGAACTGGGCTATGTACACCAACCCCCGTGGTGTCCAGGACAGCTGTCACACAGCAAACTCCCATCTGACAAGGACACAGGCTCATGGCACAGAGCTGAAACAGAAGACAAGAGTCCTGCAGTGCTTGGTGTGGATGTGGAAGTCAGAAATCTTCACCAGTGAGGATCAGTCACTTCCGAGCTTTTGCAATGTCACAGTCATTTCTTTGTCCTGGAAATTCTCACGCAGCCCAAGCGTGGAGCCCCATCAGCCCATAAAGCTGTTTAAAAGGAGCGGCAGTGCCCTATGAACCCTGTGCAACAGGATTACTGAGTCATTCTTTGCTAGCGTTAATCAGAAACCTCTTTACACAGTAACAGCAGCGTTGAGCAAAACAGCAACAAGATAGGAGTGCCAGAACGCCCGGGGCTCTGCCCCCTTCCCTCCTAATAGCTGAAAACAAGGATGCAATTTCTGCACCGTGCAATTTACATTGCAATTTCGGC